TGTCTCTCCTTCTCTGGTACTTTCTGTTTCCCCACTGTCCAGTTCTCTCTTCTCTCTCTCTCTCTCTCTCCTCCCCCTCCTCCCCTCTCTCCTATTTTCTCTTTCACCCCCTCTCTCTTCTTTCTCTCCTCCCCTTCTCCCTCTCCCTCCCTCTCAGTAAGATAGCGGTTTGGACGCGTCATGCTGTGGGGAAATGGGGTGGGGAGGAGGAGGGGGGGGGAGATGGGGAGGGCGCTACCAGTTCTCCCTCAAGGGGGTTGGGCGAGGGGGGGTAAACTCATGCCTCCTCTGTTTACATATTACCAATATTTACCTTCTATAACTTGACCTTGGACGACGAGAGAGAGAGAGAGAGAGAGAGAGAGAGAGAGAGAGAGAGAGAGAGAGAGAGAGAGAGAGAGAGAGAGAGAGAGACAGACAGACAGACAGAGAGACAGAGAGACAGACGAAAGTTTATACCCAAAGAGAAACGGATAATAAAGAGATAAAGGAAGGAACAAACAGACAGACAGAGAGACAGACAGACAGACAGACAGGCAGAGAGACAGAGAGAAAGACAGAGAGAAAGACAGAGAGACAGACAGAGACAGACAGACAGAGAGACAGAGAGACAGACAGAGAGACAGACAGACAGACAGACAGACAGAGAGACAGACAGACAGACAGTTCCAAATACTAGATCCGAGATAGTAGTTTCAAGTTAGTGTTCATTTTTAATTACAGTTCTAGTATAAACTCCTTGATTCTATTTCCTAGTTGATTCTATTTAATTGTCCCTAGTTACTTAGTTGCTTTTAGTTAGTTGGTCCTAGTTAGTTAGTTATTCATTGTCTTTCAGAGCTTAACACTGTCCCCCTCCTCCTTCTCCTCCTCCTCTCCTTCAACTCCTTCTCCTCCTCCTCTCCTTCAACTCCTTCTCCTCCTCTTCCTCCTCTCCTTCTCCTCGTCCTTCTTCTCCTTCTCCTCTTCCTCCTTCTCCTCCTCATTCTTCTCCTCCTCCTTCTCCTACTCCTCCTCTTCCTTTTCTCCTCCTCCTCTTTCTCCTTTTTCTCTTTCCTCTCCTTCTCCTCCTCCTCTCCTTCTTCTCCAACTCCTTCTCCTATTCCTACTCCTCCTCTCCTTCTCCTACTCCCCCTCTTTTCCCATTCCTTCTCATTTCCCTCCTCTTCACCTCGTCCTCCCCCCCTCCTCCTCCTTCTTATTCTCCTCCTCCCATCTCTTCTCCTGTTCTCCGCCTTCTCCTCTCCCCCTCTTCTCCTCTCCTCCTTCCCTTTGTTCCTCCGTTACCTCAACTGCTTACACTCTTCACCAGGAGTGGCCAAGGGGGTGTTGTTGTTCTTGCAGTCTTGGCCACTCACTCGCCACACTCACTCGGTCACTACACTTCACCTTGACTAGATCACCTTAATGGCAGCAATACTATCACAAAGACTTGGGTAATCTGACTATCATGAATTTGTAAAAAGAAAAAGGAAAAAATAGAGCCAACATTAACAACAAAAACATTAATGACAACAACAACAACAAAAGCAATAACAAGAACAAGAACAAGAACAACAACAACAACAGCAACAACGTAAAAGTTTGAATAAGGTGAAGTATAAATTTTTTAACATTGAGACTAAGTTAATATGACAAAAGGATTGACAGCACTTAACTCTAAATTCAGCCGGAGGTAAACTTTAGTGTCAATCCCGGCCACCAGGGACTGCCATCACTTAAAAACAGGTCCAACTTGTGAACTACTGCCTCTGATGGTTATTAATTGTCTATTGACTTAAATAAATATATATAAACAAGTGACCAACAATATGTAATAACTCACATAATAAATGTCTCTTTGTTAGATATAAATTTACTGTATTTTTTTTAAACTTGAAAGTAATATTTTTTCAATGAGTCGTACGAGGAGAAAATATTCGTAATGTACACACACACACACACACACACACACACGACTGACAATTGACGAGGACACAGAAGGAGAAAACAACTGGCAGGAGGAGTTAGTTAATGGGGCGCTGGATCCTGTGGACAACCCGCCATGACTCAGCTCAAGAGAAATGTTCACAAAAAAATCGAATTCAGCATCACACACTTACCTGAGGTGAACACGCCGAGTGTCAGGTGAAAATACTCCCTTAATGAGCAAGGATCCTCCCGGGCACCATAAATAAATACATAAATTGAAAAGCAAAAAAAAAAAAAAAAAAACAGATAAGGAATGAAAACAGTAAACTATAAATATTGTGTTGTCAATAGTAAGAGAAACAATTGAGACCCTGCAATTGTGTGTAAATGAGGCAGAAAGTCAGATCAGCAACCTGGGACTTGGCCACAATTTTCGTGATGCCATATGGCAGCAGGGTCTACCATTAGACAACACATTATGCTTCCAATATCTTCCCAGGGGGTAGTACCTCCCTGTTTGGTAGCTACCTACTACCTACTACCTACTACCTTTATATGAGATCCAGTTAAAGGACCAAAATCCTAATGTTGTTGTGGGGATGTTCAGCCCGAGGCCACGGACAGTTACTGTAGGTCATGGTAAACAAAATACTTTATAATGTTCGAAGGTTTATTCTTATTTTAACATGAAGTTATTCCGGTTGAACTCGGGTTAAGTCGGCCTTGTTGGTGACGCTGGTGGTGTGAGTGGTGGTGGTGGGGGCTGGGAGGTGTGGGTGTGGTGTGGGTGGTGGTGTGGGTAGGGAGGTGTGGGTGGTGGTGTGGGTTGGGAGGTGTGGGTGGTGGTGTGGGTTGGGAGGTATGGGTGGTGGTGTGGGCTGGGAGGTGTGGGTGGTGGTGTGGGTTGGGAGGTGGGTGGTGGTGTGGGGTTGGGAGGTGTGGGTGGTGGTGGGTTGGGGAGGTGTGGGTGGTGGTGTGGGTTGGGAGGTGTGGGTGGTGGTGTGGGTTGGGAGGTATGGGTGGTGGGCAGCAAGGGCGTCACAGAAATTCAGGAAGAATTTACTTTCTGTTTGATCTGAATCCAAACTGATCGTAAGTGATTCCGAGGGCGCGCTGCTCCTCAGCGAAGCGGATCTGCTCGATGGCGTGGGCGGGGAGGGGGTGGGCGGTGGGCAGCAGGGAAGACTCGGGCTGGAAGCCGTCCTCGTTGGCGATGTAGCGGACCTCAGCGATGGTGCCGTCGGGGAGGGGGAACCTGAAGGATGAATAAATATAATTAGAAAACTAATTGTAAGTTAGACACAAATGACTAAACCTAAAACAAAGTGTCATGTTTGACGTCAGTCATCAGCGACTCTATGAGTGGTATAGTAGTGACTACAAAGATAGTAACCATTAAGACACTTGAATCAACACTGACTCAACACTGCATGACCACAGTCTGCATCATGCAGGTATTATATTTTACCTGAAGACGCCCTGCATGTTGCTCTGGCCAGCTGAGCCAGGGGTGCCGGATGCTTCCACAGCGATGCCGTTGTCGGCCTCAAAGGCATATTGGAAGTTGCCGTCACCGCTGTCCTGACGGTCGTCACGGAGGATCACTACTGGTGGGAGGTCGACGAACTGAGGAGCGGCGACGGCCACGGCGGCCAGGCAGGCGAGGATGACCTGAAGGCGGAGTAAGACTGATAAATGACTTCCTGCCACGACCCAATCTTCAGGAAATTAAAGGATAATGATAGGAATGAGGATGGACGATGAAGACTCTCCTAGAGAGACGAGAATGAAACACCATAACAAGAGGAGGCTACCCAGGTGTGTCACTGATTAAGGCCACCTGTAGTGCTTAGGGAGTTAACCTTCCTCAAAGGGTTAAATTATAATACAAGAATTTCAAAGTTACCACAGCAGGTGAAGGCCTCATTACTAACACATCAGATGAACAGAAAGGGTGTTCACTACTCAGTCAGGGCGTGAATGGCTCAAAGCCTTCCTCAATAAAGGTTAGGTTAAGTTAGGTTAAGTTTCGTTATATTATATTGGGTTAAGTTAGGTCAAGTTATGTTAAATTAGATTAAGTTATGTAAGGTCAAGTTAGATTGTGGGTCTACCTGATATGTAGTCAACAGAGAGATACAGTGTGCCAGCTTGTGAACGTAAGTGGGGTACACTTTGCTGTGGTATTAATACGAGTCAGCGGGGTACTAGAACCCTTAATTATCAGACTAGAACCCTTAATTATAGCACCCAAAGACTTATTATAGCACTAAACATATCCTAATGCTTCTATTACTCTCAAGTATAATAATAATACTTCAAGTTTTAGTAATGGAAGTTGTAAGACGGTTTTCCTGGAGGCTGATGATTCACAAGTAGTTGTTGTTGGTGGTGGTTGTAATAACTGTTGTGGTTGTGTCTTATGTTTGGACTTTAAGACTTACAGCCTTTTGGTATAAGAGCGGAATTAATAGTAGTTGAAGTAGTAATAGTAATAGTCATAGTAATGATAGTAGAAGTAGTATTAATAGTATTAGATGTCGTAAATGGATTAATATTAGTATTTGTTTTAGTAATATGACTAGTAGTAGTTGTAGCAGCCGTAGTAGTAGTAGAAGTAGTAATAGTAGTAGTAGTCGTAGTAGTAGCACAAACAACAATATACCAACACAAGGGTGAGAGTCGGGGAAGACAATGGTATACTCACGAGCTTCATGTCTGGTCCGGAGAGAGGCGAGGTGGACAGTGATGCTTCACCTGGTGGACCTCCCTTAATATATTTACCCCTATCCCCCCTTACCCCCTTTACCCCCCCTACCCCCCCTCCCCCCCTCCTTCCATCCTCCCCAAGACACACGTTGTCCCTATCCTAAGAAGTGGGCGGGATTTCCGTAGAAAGTGGGAGGAGCTTATGGTTCTGTGGAGAAGTGTTCACCTCGACGTAAAATTCCATGAAATATTTAATCAATCATCTTCAGTCACTCGTGATTAAGTTCTCGTATAGAAGAGTATTTTGATTTTGAGTTTGAGTTTGGGAGTTTTTTTTGAGAGGAGTTACAGGAAGTATTCAGTGAGGAAAATTGGATAAAATTGTGATTAAAGAGAGAGGAGGAACTAGTGATTAAGACCAGGAAGGAGGGAAGAAGAGAGGGTGGGGGGTGGAGGAAGGAGGGAAGAAGGAGGTAGGAAGAGGGTAGGTGTTAGCCTTGATGTGGGTGAGAAGGAGAAGGTTCAGGTATAATGATAAGTGGCAGTCAAGTGATGGCGAGATACTGGTCACACACACACACACACACACACACACACACACACACACTCACACACTAGTTCGTCACGTGTTTGTTATTTTACCTAATTCAGCCATCAGCCATTAGTAATAGATCGAGCCAGACGAGAGAGAGAGAGAGAGAGAGAGAGAGAGAGAGAGAGAGAGAGAGAGAGAGAGAGAGAGAGAGAGCTTACTCACTTTTAAGGCATCTGTAAAAGCAATTAATCTAATGAGTCCCTTAACTTACTCACACACACACACTCCACGTTCCATTTACCTCAGCAGTTTACTCACCAATGGCCTCCACACTGACTAAGAAGCCATTTATTCATCTTATATACTCATCAATGGCCTATACACTCGTCTCACTTATTAATTTCACTCATTCACTCACTTACAGTTCACCTTAACACTTCTTTATTCATTTACTCCTTTGGTTGATAGTAAACTCAGTGAGTATATTTTGTAGCTATGATAATATAACATAATATAATGATGACCTCTTGAGTATAATGAATGAGTGCAATGATGTTGATAACTTAATACCCCGAGTACGATGATTTAAACCCTTGAGTACAATGAATGAGTACAATGACTTTGATATCTTAACCCCTTGAGTACGATGATAGCGTGTAATAATATAAATATCTTAACCCCATAAATGCGAAGACTTATTTTCTTGAGTACAATCAATTCATCTCTTGAGTACGATATCTCAGTTACTGGAATACGATAACTAAGTTGTTTGAGTACGATTACATTGTACTCAGGAAAGATGTCATGGTATTCAAGGGAGGCAAAGGAAGAGGCTGATGAGGAAAAAGGTGGACGGGAATGATGGTGGGTATAGAAGAGGGAGAGGAGGAGGGAGAATAAGGGATATAAACACAGTGTAATGAGACCAGGAAATAACAGATGATTGATGGCAGTGGTAGAGGTTAGGTTAGGTCGCCTGCAACTATACATGGTACAGTGGCAGGCGCATCCTTAGTCTAGTAGCAATAAGGAGGTTCACTAGAGGCATTCTGGGAGTTTTAATACGATGTAAATAAGCACAGCGTTGCAACATCTCACCAAATGCATCAGAAACTGTACCAGGTATAAGTGCAGGCGTCTGTACACTTTACAAATATAACACACACCACCACACGGTGTCCCCATGACTATGTGAGGTCCTTCATATCAACACCCGAGGACGAGTTACTACACCACGTGAACACCACACCACCTGGTGTCTCCATGACCACGTGAGGTCCCTCATATCAACACCCGAGGACGAGTTACTACACCACGTGAACACCACACCACCACACGGTGTCCCCATGACTACGTGAGGTCCCTCATATCAACACCCGAGGACGAGTTACTACACCACGTGAACACCACACCACCTGGTGTCTCCATGACTACGTGAGGGCCTTCATATCAACACCCGAGGACGAGTTACTACACCACGTGAACACCACACCACCTGGTGTCTCCCATGACCACGTGAGGTCCCTCATATCAACACCCGAGGATGAGTTACTACACGTGAACACTACACCACCTGGTGTCTCCATGACCACGTGAGGGCCTTCATATCAACACCCGAGGACGAGTTACTACACCACGTAACACACACCACCCGATGTCTCCATGACCACGTGAGGGCCTTCATATCAACACCCGAGGATGAGTTATACACCACGTGAACACCACACCACCTGGTGTCTCCATGACCACGTGAGGGCCCTCATATCAACACCCGAGGACGAGTTACTACACCACGTGAACACCACACCACACGGTGTCCCCATGACTACGTGAGGTCCCTCATATCAACACCCGAGGACGAGTTACTACACCACGTGAACACCACACCACCATACGGTGTCCCCATGACCATGTGAGGTCCCTCATATCAACACCCGAGGACGAGTTACTACACCACGTGAACACCACACCACCTGGTGTCTCCATGACCACGTGAGGTCCCTCATATCAACACCCGAGGACGAGTTACTACACCACGTGAACACCACACCACCTGGTGTCTCCATGACCAGTCCAGGCCCGGGCCATCAACTGTAAACTATAATAATTTGTATGTTTAATCCATGTTCCTTCTTCTGTCAGTAATGAAAGCGTTTGTTAAACGACCCACCCACCCCATGTCTTTGTATGTAATAATTAATTTTTGTCCAATGTATATTTTCAACCTTCGGGATGCAGACTTTTTCAATAAACCGTTAATTATTGTTATTATTATTATTATTGTTATTATTATTATTATTACACACACAAAACACAAAGGCTGTAAAGAAAAGTGGATAAAAAAGACAAAGACGAATAAACACATTGACAAGAACAATTTATTTTATTTGTCTTATATTTTCTTTACTCTCACTTCTCTGTCTCGTTGATCAGGGGCACAGAAGCTTCCAAGGCGTTAGGTAAACAGAAAAGGAATGGAAGGGGGAGGAGAAGAAGGTGAGGAGGAGGAGGAGGGAAGGGAAGGGGAGGAGATGTGGGGAGAGGGGAGGAGACGGGGAGAGGAGGAGGAGGCGATGAGGTAAGGGAAGGGGAGGAGATGTTGGGAGAGGGAAGGAGACGGG